GAGCCTAGATGGAGCTAAAAATAACTGGCTAATCACCACCAGGAAGCATTAACAAGGACTCCAAAGAAAGGAAAATGTCTTAATATTCCATCTCTCCAGCAGCTGCACTCCAGCTGGGACTGAAGTCTCCTCCCAGCTTCCATCGGGCAGCTAATTAGGCAGGACAGAAGCTCAGCACTTAGAGGAACTGAGGACCTGCCTAAGCTTCCAGGGAGTAAATGGAACAGGGTTACATGGGGTGAGGTGAGTTGGAAATTATCGATGAAGCCAAAAGAAATGAACCGCAGCAGAAGACAGGCTTTAAAGAATAAAGAAGTCATCACAGTTCACAGTTCTCCTTGTAGAAAGTAAAATCCTTATAGAGAAACATCATTTGATTTTTCTCTGCAACTCCCCCTGAAAGGTTTCTCTGGTGTCTCCAGCTGAAAGTATCCCTGGGGGCCACACCCTGGGGCCATATTGAAACAAGTTCTCCCTGGCAGCCTCCATCTTATTACAAGGACCAGGGCAGACCCACAGAAACCTGAGCACTGAGACAGAGTATAGCATGTGGTCACAGCATGAAAAGTGTGACAGGTGTTATTCATTCATAGGACCTGGAAGAGCAGGAATAAGAGATGACTATTTCCAATTGAAATAGGTTAGTGCAAAGAAATAAAGAAATATTCTTTCGTAGAGCAAGGTATGATCAGTTTAAATATGAATATGAACAGCTGCTAGTGAAGAACTATTTAGGAGCATATCCCTAACCATTTGGTTCAACCTATTTGGCTATGTGCTCATGATTCTTCCTGTAATCTGTGTGCTTGGTGAGGGTCTGTGGCAGAATGATCAATAAAGCGGTATAAGGGAAAGATGGAGCGTTAGAAGAGTATGGACTTCGGGGTTCAGTGCTGTGCAACATTCCCTAACAGGATGTGTTCGGCAAAATTACCTAGATCTCTAGATTCGTGCACGCACGAATGCCGGGGCATGTCTTTCTTTGGGTTCTAAGACTGAAACAACCCAGCAGCTAGGAGGACACTTCACTTGTGCTAATGTGCAGTTCGAACATCACTCTCCTGCTACATTGAGACAGATGTGCACTGACAAGGTGTGGGCAGTCTTTCTAGCACACAGATGTGACTAAAGAAGCCTTTAATGCTCAGCACTTACACCCACTTCCCATCCAGCCCTTCCTGAGAAGCAGGGTCTCCTCCTTTTTCCTTGTGTTCCAGCCCCGGGATATTGGTGGCTGGATCCACCACTGCCATGGCCCATGGGAAGGGTGCTGTTGGAGAGCAGCGGGGGCTGATTTCTGAAAGTCTTACTGTCTCCGTTTGTGTTGTTTTCCCACAGCCAGAAAGGCCCCCTCCTGATGCATGAGTCACACTGTAGTCCCCAGGGATGAGGGCCGGCTGCATTCTGAGAAGAAAGGCTGTGAGCCCAGAGGATTCTGCCTGAGGCATGAAAGACAGCCAGATTCACTCAGAGGTACAAACAGTCCATTGGCACTGGACTTGTGTCGATCCCACCCCACCCCATCAATACTGGTTTGCTGTTTGGGTTTTGCCTGGCGTTATTCAAAAGCCCCAGACAACATTGTGACGCTGAAAGAGAAAAGAGTAATGAGAAAATCCCGTTACATTTGCAGCTGTGTCACTTAGCAGCGTATGATGCCAGCAAACAATTTAACCACTCAGAGCTTTATCTGGCAGGAGCAGAAAGAAGCACTCTCAGCTACCCCAGAAGGCTGCCGAGATTTGTGGAGGGCAGTGCCCAGGCAGAAGGGTAGGGGGACTCTCTCCTTCAGCTACAAGGCTACTTGTTTCTGAGCTGCTAGGTAAATGATCCTGCAAGCAACACAGCAAATTTTTAGGCAAGGTGTGTTATGGAGATGTGTAACCCCCATGTTTATCTTTTTTAGGAATATTTTTATGGATGAATTATTAAACTTTATGAGTTAAAATAAAAATAACAAAATATAAATATTTCATTTCTAGTAAGTAATAAAAATAAAAATATATTAAACAATGTGCACTTAACAGAAAAATAAAATATCAGCAAAATAAAATAGTACATTTTAAATATATAATGAAATATAATGAGTGTACAGAATAAGCATGAATATTTTTTCTTTCTTTCTTTCTTTCTTTCTTTCTTTCTTTCTTTCTTTCTTTCTTTCTTCCTTCCTTCCTTCCTTCCTTCCTTCCTTTCTTATCTTTAAAAGATAGTGCAGTTCAAGCTGGTCTTGAGTTCACTTTGTAACCCAGGATGATCTTGAACTTACAACAATCCTCCTGCCTCAGCCTCCCGAATGCTAGGATTACAGGTGGGTGTGATCAAGCTGGGCTAAGCATCAAAATTGTCAATACCAACTGTTTACAAGTTCTAAAAAATAACAGCAGAAATAAATCTCCATGTGAACTACAACGAAAGCACAAAACTCTACCGTAGAATAATCTGTGCTTCAGTTCTCACATCTTAGGCAGTCTTCACACATGTCAGCGGTATGTTCCAATACACTTGCCTATGCTGACATGCATGGGCTTAGCTTTCTTTTCCTGTTTGGCAGATCATATCTGTCACCTCTCTTGTCTTCCCCTTTTGTCAGGAGCTTCCTATTATATTATACAAGGTGCACTTAGCAGGAAAATGAGATATCAATAAATCAATTAAATGAAATACCAGTAACATATCAAATATATACTGTTTAGAATAAATCTCAAAATTTTCTACATCAAATGTTTGCTTACTAAATATAAAAAAGCAGAAATAAATTCTTATGTGAGCTACAATGAAAATACAAATAAAATTCTACCACAAAAAATAATCTTTGCTTCCACTGCCACCCTGAAGACAGGTTTTACACATGAGAACACCATGTTCCGTACACGAGTATCGCTTACACCGATAGCACGTGTTTTGTTTCCCTGTATCTTTTGGTAGGACATCCTTGACATCTTGCTGATCTTTTTCTCAGGAGGTTCTTGTGAAGTTTCACCTGCCTGCCCCCTGGCATTGTGCTTGTGTTGGTCCAATGCCAGAATTCTTTTGAGGAGCTCTTTGGGCAGATACACACTATTCTTCCTCTATTGTAATTGATCATTTATCAGTTCCAGTCCCGATCCTCTAAGAAAATTTCTCTGTGATAGTTTGCGCTTCTTATTTTCTTTGTAAACTGTGAAACTATTTATGCTTGACATGTTTAGGATGGGGTAAAACACAACCATTGGCCAACACTTTATGTTTCAAGTGACATCATGGTTACTGCATAACTCATCAATAACATGTACTCCACCTTTCACTTAGTTGTAAAATGTGACCATTTCTGGCTGTATTTGTGTCAAGGATTTATTATCAATCTCTTTTGTGGGCGGTTTTGTTTTGAAACATGGTCTTGATACCTAGTGCAGGCTTGCCTGGAACTCACTGTGTAGCACAGGCTGACCTTGCACTCACAGGATCTTCCTGCCTCAGGAACCTCCTGAGTGCTGCGTTACAGGTGTGCTTCACCACCCCGGTCTCACCATCACTCTTAGCATCGTGGTGTCATGGTGACAGAACCCAACACTACTTTGTTTTTCTTCACCATATAGGAGGCCAATGTTATGTCTTTCTAAAATTCAAAGATTATAGTATACATTTCTTTACTATGAACCTGCAACATTTTTTCCCCCAAGAATCTCAGCTTCCTTCTTGAAAATAGTTCCTGTGATGGTCAGTTGATGCCCTTTAAGAAGATGTTGCATCCATCCATACGTTACTAGTGAATCAATATCAAATGTGACATTTGGGTTACTTTTTAAAATAGAGGCAATAAGACTGCTCACAACATCATATAGTTTATTACTGCACAAAGAAAGACCTGGTGGCTGGGTTCCAGGATAAATTTCTAAATTTGGTGTGTACAGTGTTTTCACATCTACCAGGGCATATATTTTCATATCATATTTGGAAGGTTTACTTGGCATGTTTTGCCAAAGCTTCAACAACCACTAAATGGTGCACATTGTTCATGCATTGTTATGTATTCCAATGGTGTGTAAACTGCTTGACAGCTCAAAACAAATCTTTCAAAAAACGGGCACTACCCACCAAATTGTTGTATTTTAAAATTTTTGGTGGGTCTTTTTGTCATCAAAATGTAGGCAGTTTTAAAGGAAATCAAATCTCTTGAGTGTCATTATTGTTCTAAAAATCTCAAAGCCTCACTTCTCACTTTGTAAATCCTTTAGATCCTGATGATCAGAATAATAAAGTCTTGCTGTGAAGACTATTTAGTTCAGATAGTGAGGCACCATTATAAACTTATTTTGTAGTATTACTGTTGATACATATAGAAAACTTTCTTGAATTTTGTTATTAGTATATTTCAAAATATCTTGTAGAATATCATCCATTACAGACAATTTTCAACATTGAATCTCAGGGTTGGCATTCTGTCCAATAGGTTTTACTCCTGACAAGAACTTGATAACATCCTCGTCTCAATCAAGCTCTTCATTGTGCACTTGTCTACCTTCTCTATCTCCATCTGTCTTATCTGTTATATATTGCTACCTTCTTTGACTTACATAATCCAAGTCTCATAAGTAGCAGAATCACCTGGTAACTCACATTCAAACTCCCCCTAAAGTTGTAAAAGTGAATTTTCACGCAATGCTTAGCACTCTGCTCTCCTTTGTTATTTGGTACTTTTATGGCTTCCCCACCCTCAAGCCTCTCTGACCATTTTTTCTCTGCCTCCTTCTAAGCCTTCTGTCCAATATGCCCATCAAACACAGCATGTCCAGAGTTCTGTGCTTGGTCCTTGTCTCTCTGTTCATTGTTTCTGGGCGATCTTCCCTACCACATGGCTTTTAATGTCATTGAGAGCTCCAATATTCTATATTTTCATTCCTCCAGCTCCAAGTTTTGGAACCATTTATCTATCTGCTGTATGTATACACTAACATGGCCTCTAACTAGAGATCTGTGTATGCTTCCTGTATCCCTGTAACAAATTACTATGACAAGAATGATGTAAAATAACAGGAATTTATTCTGTCCCTGTTATGGAAGCCAGAAGTCTGAAATTGAGGGGTCGGCAGGGCCATGCTCCTCCAGGAAGCTCCCATGAAATCCTTTCTTTGTCTTCAATCTTCTGATGGCTGTCAACAATGCTTGGCTTCCAGGCTTGTGGCCATGTGAGTCCCATCTGTCTCTCTGTCTTCACATGCCTTCTCCCCTGTGTGGCTCATATCTCTTTCCAAGTGTCTCATAAAAGGACAATTGTTATTGATTTAGGACTTAGCCAGATAATTCAGGATGGTGTCTTTATCTCATGATCCTTAATCTCATGATCCTGTAAAGCTCTTTTTTTCCAAATAATGTAACATTTATTGGTTCTTAGAATTAGGAGGGGAATGAATGTTTTTTTGGGGGGAAGGGGTGCTGGTCAAGTCACTACAATGTCTAGGACTAAACCCATTATCTTTCCTCTTTTACCCACACCTTAATTTCTATTAAAGATATTCCCCTCTGCCATCAGTAATTTGAGCCAAATACCTCCCAATCATTTGAAACTGTCTTGCTTAGCCCACACTCTGATGAGCCATCAAGTACTGATAAATTTTTTAATACCATCTATGGCTCTAATCTCCACCATCATCGCCACTGCATCATCACCCCGACCTGCTCCCTGGCTCACCATTTTTGCATACCATCAACTCCTCCTAGCAAGACTTCCTGCCTACAGTGAGACCACGTTCACTCAATTACCTGAAAGTATCATAAACCTTCTCTACTTGACAGCCTGTGTTTCTTGTCTGGTACAGAGTAGTCCAAGCTCCATTGACCCAACTGCCTGCCAGAACCTTCTCCTAGTTCTTCATCATACTGATTCATCACATCTCACAGCACAATTCTAGAGCTCCTTAGTGCCTCCTCTCAGAAACCATGCCATCTGTTCTCCTCTCTATGGACCTTGGTGATGCTGCCTCTTTGGTGCTGGTCCTTTCCCTTTCTTCTGGCTTCAGCTTCTCCCAGGAGCCTCCCTTAACTCCCAGGCGAGGACTACTTGGGCTCCCGGGATCTGTGAACATCTTTACATTTCTCACTGACTTGGTGCACTACTGTGCTTGTTTATGTCTCCCCGAACGATCTCTAAAATCTTATTCACCTTTGAGCCCTTGCCCTTAGTCTAGACCTAAAATAAATATAAATTGACTTGGACAGAAATTTACCTAAATATAAAACAATTTATGTGTAAAAGGTAGGGCCCAGAATAATGTGGGTGAGGGGAATGATCTGGATGGCAGAAACTGTGGGATGGTGAGGGTGCGGTAAAGAGATGAGTGGTTGTGCCGACAGTTGCTGGGAATCCGTGTGTGTGTGTGTGTGTGTGTGTGTGTGTGTGTGTGTGTGTGTACGCATGTGCATGCGAAAATTTGAGATTTGTAAATATAAAGAAGAAAAAGAGAGGAGAGTGATGAACAAAGAAAGGGAGGAGACAGCCTGAGAGAAAGGCAGGAGGAGTGGGCCATTATCACCCAGGGGGACACATTAGCAACCATGAGAAGCACACAGCTACTGCTGAGAGGCTGCAAGAGGAACCTCGGCCTCTGCCTCTCAGGACGGGGCGCCTGCTTGGGAGACAGTTGGGATCCTTAAACTCCAGAGATTTTGTTTTACTTTCTGGAATTCAAGGTCACTTTTTCTTTGCATCTAGTCCCCTTCATGTAAGTGTCTTTTATTGCTGTGACAGGATAAACATTATGTGTTCTCAGAAGAGTTGCCCCACTTTTCCTTCAAGCTGACTCCTTTCTCTAGGGAATCAGTCTTGGCTGAGTTGCAACTAAAGATGCTCATGAAAGAAGACTCCCAGAGCTGCTTCCGAATGTAGCACGGATGATGGGTAAGTGTGTTTGAAGCAAGGGGGGTATTTTCAGGGGAATTAATAGTACTCTGTCTTTTCCCGTAATACATTTTTTAAAAATAGAGACAGATATTCATTGTATTTTTTGATCATTCCTTGTAATTTGCTGCAGGAGTTCAAGTAAATAAATAAGTAAATAAATAAATGAAGCATCCCCAGAAAAGCCCTTGCAGCTGAAGAGTATTTGGAGCTCTGGAATCAATTAGTGAAGCACCCCTTCCTTCAGGGTAGACTGGTGGGTCCAAATGGGAAGCACCCCAGAAGAAGTGTACTGAGCTTTGCCCTGGTTTTGGCAATCAGAATTCAGCTACTGAGAGAATTTCTTTTTCCATTGTTCTTCAGCAGCTGTCACCAGTCTGTCCCAATCTCAGCATGAAGGGAACAGAGTAGCCACGCTGTGGACCTGGAGGCAACGATGACTACCTGAGCCAGATTTGCTGGAATCTGTTCCTGCTCAGTTCATTCTAATAAGTACTTCACGAGAGCCCACTGTGTGCACACATATGTTAGGTAGCTGAATACAAACATGAGCCTCAGTCCTTTCCGGTGAAAAGGTCATGGTGGAGGAGCCAGATAATCAGTGTTTCCTACAGAGTGATGGTGTTCAGTGTAAACTCAGGATGCTCTGGCCTGGAGGAGCACCTCACCCAGCTTTCACAGTGATCACCAGCACAGTCAGGGGCAGAGGCCCAAGGAGAAACAGTATGTCCCGAGTGGGCTTCTAGAGGAAGTGTGGTGCTTACCAAGATGAGATGGCAGAAAGCCTGGCAGGAGATGGGTCAGCTACATGGGGCAATATGGCTCCTCATGTTCTCCTTATCTTTCTGTTCCACTCTGGTCTTATGTTCAGAAGATCGAGACTACAGGGACAGAAGTTGGGACAGAGGGTTAGCTGAGGCACAGTGGAAGAGAGCTCATGAGAGGGCAGGAGGATATTTTCACTTCCTTGACTTTCAGCCAACCAACCCAGGGAGTGCAAACTTACCTTCCCACGCTTGATTGCTGCTTCTCTCAAATATATTGGCTGTCTTACCTTTGGGTGTGGCAGCGTTGGAACATTCTGTCTTGGCAGGCTACCTCCTTTTGGAGTGAGTTCAGAAGGAGTGCCCTTCAATGGTCACAGCAAACTGAACCTGAGTTTGGCGCTGTCAAAGGCTAGGGAAGTTTTGGAAGGAGCCTGGGTTCACATAAGTTGTCCAGGAATCCACAGTCACAGGGCCTGAAGGGGGTGTACCAAATCCTGTTTGGGCTTGCTGAAAAGGGCCATTTAAGGTAGAGTTGGCATTTGTAGGTTCTTGTTGTAAACCAGTTTCCACACACCGTTCTGTTTATCAGGTAGTTAAAAGCAGAGACAAGCTGCTTTATGGTAATGAAGGAAATTGCCCCATAGACTGTTGCTTGTCTTCATTTGTCTTCCCTTTGGCAATTCACTGTAGGAGTTTCCAGGCTCCAGAGAAGGTTTTAGATCCCAGAGAGTGAGTCTCACAACTGGACAGTGGTTTCCTCAGCTTTCAAAATAAATTTTAACCCCTCCCCTTTCTGCCTGCTGGTACTGCATGTAGCTTGTTTTTTTTTCGGTTTCAATGGGAAAGACTGTTACCTAAAACTTGCCAATGCCATATCTCATCTTTGCAGCTCAAATTAAACAAATCATGAGGTGTGACTTGCTGAAAGTGACCTGCCCTCACACCTGTGCTTTTGCTCATGCCCTGAGCAGTTGACTCTGGCTGCTGCTTGCATGTCTGCAGGCTCCAGTCCCACTATGGGGGATGCAGCCTGCCTAGTCCACAGCACATAGAAGAGTCCCTATTTGGCTTCCTATTGCTTGCTCTCTCTCTCTCTCTCTCTCTCTCTCTCTCTCTCTCTCTCTCTCTCTGTCTCTGTCTCCCACCTTTCTGCTCTCCATTTGCTTAATAGTTAGCACACCTGACATCTGCTACAGCTATCCTTCAGGCACTTGAAGTTGTGACAAGTATACGAATAGGCACTTGAAATTATGACCTTGCAATATTTCTCTTTCAAAACCAGCCACTTAGATTCTTTTCTTCCAACTATATAGCCCCTATCCAGCCAGCACACTCTTTTATAACCTTGCTGGTTTTTTACTAGCAAGATAATAAACCCTGCTCTTAAAATCCATGTGTCTAAGATGTACAGTGCTATAGCATCTCCCTGCCCTCTACGTATTCCCAGCTACACGTTTTCTCTTCTACAATTTTCTTCTTAAGGCACTTTCGAGACCAGCAGATTTCCAACCCTATGCTCTACAAAATTCCCTCTTTTTTTTTGAACCTGCTAACTCCACCTTCAAGGTTTTGCTGAACACCATCTCTTTCTGAGAAGCCTCCCTTATTATCTGAGTCTTCTGCCCCTCCTCACCCTTCTCTCTCCGTGTGCCCCAGGCTAGAACTCTTACTGCTTTGATAAACAACTTCTTAATATCTCACTGGGCACAATAAGAAAAACACATTAAAAAGAATCCCCAAATTTAAAAGTTAAGCATAATTGGGCATGATGGTGTATGCTTGTAATCCCAGTCCTCAGGAGACGGAGGCAGGAGGGTCACGGTAAGTGACCAGCCTGGGTTACAGAGTGAGTTCAAATCTGGCCTGAACTGTCTAGTGAGAACTTGACTCAAAAAAAACAAAAAACAAAACAAAACAAAAAAAAAAAGTTAATTGTGACATGCATGAGAAATATTTGTAGCTAACATTTATTTGAATGTTTACTATGCACTAAACACCTTTCTAGGGCTTGCACATGAACTATTTCATTAAGTTTACAACAGCCCTCTGTAGACGCTGTTGTTGCCTACCATGCAAAAGATTCCTTTCTTTATTGCTGCTAGAGTCCTAATTTATTTCAATGTTGTGCTAATCAACTTTCTATTGCCATGGCAAAATAGCTTTGGCAATCATTTGCACCTAGAAGGGGAACTAGTCTGAGATCAAAGAGTCATAAGAAAGTGTTGGAACCAAGCAATAAAAAGTAATTGAGTCTATTGATTACTGAAGTAACCAACCGAGGTACATCAAGACTTCTTTCTATGAAAGGACATATATCTTCCTTATTAAGCTGAAATTCTTGTAGCCTCTTAATCTTTGCAAAACCCATTAGAAATTCTATTATTATTTCATATTATCATTTTATAAATGAGGCAATTGAAGCTCAAAGAACCCAGGAAAGTAATTTACCCAATTTAAAGTACTGTAAAATGTTAATCTGGCTGCAGACCTTTTAAATACTAACCAGGCTCACTCTTTCAACAAGCAGTCTAGTTTTTACTCAGTTTGCAAATCCTTTCTTCTAGCAAATGTCTAGAACATAACTAATGCTCAATAAATATTTTTGAACATATGAGTGGTCTGAATTTTTATGGATATTCTACTTTTGATAGCACTGAATTAGCTGTTTTCTATGTCTGCTGCAAAGAGACAGAAAATATGTATTTCATTTGGGTCCCATATCACTCTTATTGGATACTCTGCAGAAGGAATTACTGTACTTAAAGCATAGAAGCAATGTTATATACTACAAACCAACAGAAAAATAGGGGAAAACAAGGCCTTATAACTTTTCTATTCTAACATAATTGTTTTCTATGGTTTCCTAGTAATTGTTTTTAAATGTACAGTAGGTACATAAAAAGCACCTAATTTTATAAAACTTAGTAAACTTTCAGAAAATAGAGTTCTTAAATCTTATAAGGTACACCCATCAAACATCTATTGCAAATTTCTAATATTTAGAAATTTACAACTCTTCTTTTAAGCTTAGGATCAAGATCATCATTGTTTTACTATTTATCATTATACTAGAAATTCTAGCTAGTGGATTAATATAAAGTATAAAAGTTAAGAAACAAGAAAAGAAGAACTAAAGCTATTATCATTCACAGGCAATATTATTGCCTACAAAAGAGAAATGGCCAAGGGAATCTAGGAGGACAATTAGTACTAATTAAAAATGTTCTACAAGGTTACCAGATAAATATGCAAATTCATATTGTATCCCAGTGTATCTGCAGCAATTAGAAAGATAGCAGAACATACCATTTAACAGCAAGAAAATCTGAACGTTCTATAGACACCCACAAGAAAGATATACAGTACAAGATCTCCATGGAAAAGTTACCAGAGCTTATCGAAAAACACAAAAAAAATCTAAACAAGAGAAGAAACATAACAAGCTGATAAATTGATTTAAATTATTATAAAGTTTCTAATTCTTGACAAGTTAAACTACATGAAGAGAAACCAAGAAGAAAATACGACTTACAAGAATATGTAATATAAAGCTGGAGTCACTGAGATTTCAAGGGTACTGGTTAAACTAGGGCTTCTCAAAGTGTCACACCTATATGAATCTGATGGGAAATTTGCCCACTATAGATTGTGATTCAGAAGAGCAGGAGTGTCAATAGTCCTAATAGGTACAGATGATGCTGGTACAGCTTTCCATGGACCTTGTTCAAGAAACAAGAGAGTAAATAAGTAAAAGAATAGAAATAGAGAGCCCAGAAGAAAATTTGCACATTTACAAAAGCTTGGTATATAATGAAGATACCTAGTAGAAAGCAAGGTGTGTAATAAATTGGGCTGATCCAATGTCCTTACTAAAAGGAGGCAGCAGTGTCCGAGTGACAAATATGAAGATTCTCTGTGGCTGACTTTTAAGTTGGAGGAGAGGCCACAAGTCAGTGCAGATTCTTGGGGCTAGAAAAGGCCAGGAAACTGATTTCCAAACCCACCTCAGAGTCTGCTGCAGGAACACACCTCTGAGAGTAAAGTCATTTTGAGTTTCTGAGCTCCAGAACTGACAGATGATATGTTTGCTGCTTTAAGTCACTATGTTTATAGTAATTGGTAATAGTAGCATCAGGGAACTAACAGTTCAGGTAACAATAGGCACCAGAAAACAAGATGAAAAGATAAGCCAAACATTAGAAGAAAAATTTAGCAAAGCATGAACTGACAAAGGATTCAAATAAAAAAAATATAAAGAGAAACACAGATCAGAAATAAGACAAGTGATTTACTAGAAGGATATCTACAGAATCCACAGAGGCAAAAGCTCTATGGTCAGAAGTAAAAGATGCACAGTCTCATAATAATCTTGAAAATGTGAACTAGGGCCATAGTGAGATGCCATTTTAAACTCATCAAAATTTAAAGTTTTTGACAATGTCAAGTGTTAATGAAGATGTAGAACAACAGTAACTTTCTTTTTTATTTTTTATTTTAAAGAGAATAAAACCAAGTGAAATAAAATAGAATAAAGCCATTCAAACAAAACAGTGAAATACAGGATTTCAAAACCAGTTAATAGAAAATCAATAGTAGGGTTGGGGATTTAGCTCAGCGGCATAAACACCTGCCAAGCAAGCACGCAGTCATGAGTTCGATCCCCAGTACCGATTAAAAAAAAAGAAAAGAAAATCAATAGTAGCTAACACAGTGCCTCTTGTTATCTTCAAAATAGCTGCCCACATGACCAGATGTAATAAAATCAAGCAAAACAGAACAGAATCAAACCAAAATAAAACAATGAAAGTAATATGGCACTTCAAAACAAGACAATAGGAAATCAGAAATGGCTGCCATAATTTATGTTGTTATCTTTGAAATAGCTGCCCATGGCATCAGATATAATACAATCAAACAAAACAATGAAAATGGTACAGGACTTTAAAGCAAGATAATAGGGGATGAACAACAACTACTGTTTCAGAAGGAGGTTCCCCCATAGTTGCTATACTATATATTTTTATCCTCCAAATAGATCAAACACTAAACCCTATGAGTATTAAGTTGATTTTTGTTGTTGTTGTTTTACTTCAATAGCTATCATTTTAGCCTGTGTTTCTCCGAATCATCTGGTTACTTATGGGGGGGGGTGTGGAAGGGGGCGGGGAACCTTGGCTTTTCTGTCTCCCAGCCCTTGCGTGCTCTGGCCAGCTCACAGGAAGGGGCTGGCTTTCATAATATACTGAAAGGAACGGAGTTTTTGCAGTGACTTGGAAAAATTTAGCAATTTAATGAATTTGAGCCTTAAGGCTTGACATTTTTGTTTGTAAGTTTCACTAGACACAGTCACCTGTCAGGACTTGGAGAAACAAAATTTTTCATCAAAGCATTTTTGTTATACCTAACAGATATATATTAAGTGTTCTTCATTGGGAGAATAGGTAAACAAATTGTAGAATCTTCCCACAGTGGAAGAGTATGCAGTGATTAAATGGGGGAGCCAGCACACCTCTTCTACCTGACTGTACATGCAATCATACCCTTGCTGTTCTTATGTTTGGCGTCTTCATTCTGGCACAACTAGCAGATCTGGAAAACTCTGACCGTGCCCCTACTTTAATTTTTAAAATGCTCCCATACATTTCAAACAATGGTTTTATTGAGGTGTAACTGATATGCTGCAAACAATATATTGAAAAGTATACAATTTGATGTATTTGGGAATAGATGAAAACTTACAAAACATTGTGATTGAGTTAGTGAATATATCTATCACACTCAAAGATCTTCTTGTCCCTTTCTAGTCCCTTCCCAAGCCTTTCATTTCATCACCAAATCACTGATTTGTTTTCTGTCACCATAAATCAATTTGCATTTTCTTGGTTTTGCATAAGTGAGGTCATTGAATATGTGCTCTTTATTTTAATCCACTGCCTTTAAATAAGTAGAATTATTTTGAGATTTATCCAAGTTGTTGTGCAGTTTATTCCTTTTTATTGGTGAATATAACTCACTAATATATACTAAAATTTGACTATCCACTCACCTGTTGTGGACATCTGGGCTGATTCCAGGTTTTTACTATTTATGAATCCTGGCATACAATTCTTATGTAGATCTATATTTTCTTTTTTCTTAGGTAAATACAGTGCCTGGATTAAATGGTGTCAGAGACTTGGCTACGTAAGGGTTAAATTGCTGACCATGAAGGGACCTCTGGCCCTTTGGAAAAGATCATGTTCATAGTGCTCTGAAGTCAAGATAACACCATAGCTGAAGCAGCGGAGGACAGGAGGCCTGTGCTGACGTTCCCTGTTCCAGAGCTATAAAGCCGCCAACCTTAGATATGAAACAGTTCTCCTAAGTGTCGGGATTTACTGCCTTTGTTTCTCAATACTGTGATCATTCTCAGCGGCTTCTGCCTCTGATGTGCCCTCCTCTTCCTGTACCCCCACCTCTGTGAAAACCCAGTAAATATGGAGAGTTTTGACATTCCTGGACTCCCTAAAAACCATACCACTTGTCTCTTTTTACTTAAGTCTTCGCAGTAACTCATTTTAGGAGACCGAGGGCTAAGCCAAGTCCCTGATGGAATGCTGTGTGTACATTTAACTTTTTGTATAGTAGTTTCCCCGTTTCACATTCCTGGCAGCAGGTTTAGGAATGAGACTGTGACAGGCTGGGGCACTTGGTGAGCATTTGGAGGACCATTCTACTTCCCTAGGAAAATTGATTCCTGGGTCTAGGGCAAATCTGGAAACCAGGAATCTAGATATTTAACAGTACCTAGGTGATTTATGTAGCAGGTGAATCACTAGTTAGGGTACACATTCTTAACTACATAGCTGTGTTTATGACGCTTTGAGCCTCTCCCTTCTCTGTACCGTACACAATACCATGTAAAACAAACTCTCTTGTTTATCCAGCACTTACACAGCGTCGTGGGTGTAACAGTGCCACCAAAACCCTCAGGCCCTGAGACCATGTTCCACTTTGGTAAAAGAGCCTTTTAGATACAACAAAGTTAAGAATCCTGAGGTGAGGTCATTCTGGATTTAAAGTTAGATTGGTGTCACACTGCCTCGAGCCAAGGAAGATCCAGGATCACCAGAAGAAGAATCTGGAAGAATCAAGGAAGGAGCCATCCTGGAAATGTGCTGAAGGGGTGTGACCCTGTTGACACCTTGGTTTGGAAATGCTGGCCTCCAGAACAGTGGGATTAAATTTTTGTTGTTTTAAGTCATCCAGTTTTTAGTAACTGATTATGGCAGAGATGATTTGAGTATTAAAAGATCTCCCATTCTTGAAAAGTGTTAAAGTAGGAAAATGGATTGAGATTATGTTAAAATTAAGAAAATCACCATGAGTGAGCATGTGTAGTGAGGAGAGTCATAACAGCTCTATCTGCGGAAGGAGGCCATTGTGTCCTGCCCCACCCAAGCATTCTTCTCCTGCTCCTGCTTGTCCAGACAACACCAGCCCTGTGCAAACAACACAAACCAGAAATCTGTTCTCTCACTGCCCCCCTTGCAGCCCTCTGAGTCTGGTCAGTTAGCAAATTCCTATAAATGCTATTTATTTTATTTCCTTAATATTTCTAAAACGTCTACCTTCCCTTTGTCCCCATAGCTGAGCTCTGTCCTGAGATCTCTGTCCTGAGAATCCCCCAGCTCCATGGGTTTGAATGGCAGTAGGACAAGGGCAAGCCCCTGAGCAGGATGTGGACCCTGCCCTCAGCCCTGCAGCCTGCCACAGCTTCTAGGAGCTCCTGCCACACTGGTCACCTCAGTCCCTGCACACTCCCAGCTCCCTTCACTGCTAACTACTCACGACTGTTTTCTACAGGACCGAACCATGACTCTTCCTTCTTCTGTATGATTGCTATTAATTCTGCCCCGGTTCCCTCTGGCAATTCTTCCTCTCTGAGCAACTCACACCTTGCTATTTTAATCCGCTGGAGATCTGTGTGCCTCTAAGTCACAGCTCTGGCTTTACACTTACCTGTGTGATCACTGCACAGCCTCACACGCAGCCTATGAGCTCTTGGGCACAGGGACAGTGACCTTTGTGTCCGTAAGGCCCAGCCTGGTGCTGTGCAGTGTAGCTACTCAGTGCACATGTGTTAGCCTAATGAAGACATGTTCCATTGTTTATAACAGGGAAAAACTGGAGGAAATTTATGGAGAACAAATTAAATAAATTATGAATTATGGTTTATATCCATGCTATGCAAGAGGACATAGCTTATGAATTAGATTTGTGGAAAGTTGACCAGAATAGATTTTGAATAAAATAACAAGAACAATTCTTGGATGAGTCATTGTTTTAAAATAAACACAGTTCTCTTTTCCTTTTTTTTTTTAACCCCCAGTGATTTGGTGATTGAACCCAGAGCCTTGCGCACACTAAGCAAGTGCTCTGACACTGATCTCCTGAGCTACCCCCATCCCAAAGCAGCAATTTAATATAAAATGTATATCTGACCAGGAAGAGATAAAGAGGCAGAAGGGTAATACTGCACAGTAGCAGTACTTAGGGTTTGGTGGTGAGACTGAGAGAGAGAAAGAAGCGATTGACAGGTGCTTTATAAAGAATTTATGAAATTTGCTATGGTTGACATTTTTATAAGTATATACAATTTTTATAATTCAAAACATGTTTTTAAAGAATGCAAGGAAGACAGGAAGCCACTCAAAGAGGGGAGGCACATTCCCTGACACCTCCCGCTACCCTCCTTGTCTGCCCTCTAAAACCCTAATCGCTTGGCCCTACCCATGTGGCTGTGCATCTGCACCACACCCTCTCACGTGTACCCTGTCCTTTTCCTGTACTTGCTCTCTCACCTATGCCCTGGCCTCTTACCTGTTCCTCATTCTGTTGCCCATTCCCCACCCTCTGAATTGTGTCCCTCACTGTGTCTGTATCATCTTACCACCCTCCCAGAGGTGTTATTCTTTTGCAAAGTTCAGGAAAAATGAGGCTGATGCAGTGGTACTTGTAGTTAATCTCCAGTCAATTTATGTTAGTGTCTTTACCTCTCCAGCTGTGAAATGTAAGCTCCCGGGGAAGGAGAGAAGCTAATTTATTCAAAACTCAGACTCTAAACACATGTTTACTTATCTAATCCATTATGTCACAAGAACTTTGAGAACAGTTCTGTTCATGTTCATTTTTAAAATCAGTAAGTGCCAGGAGCTTTGCACTTGGTTTCTGACAGCAAGGATTCAACAGAGCTCTTTAATTGACTCTTAACTCCAAACTTTTAGTTAGACACTGGGGCAGCAACCGTACCATCGCCTCCTGTGCATTTCCCAGTTAGTTCCTCCAAGATCCTAAGTGCTGAGTAAGGGTTTGTACAGTGATGAAGTTTATTCTTCTGCCAGTATGTTCATTAAGTAGTCTGTGTATTTATTTCCATTAAAGCTTCATCTCCCCAAAGCTTAAAATAGAATTGAAAATCTGCCATGTTTGACCTATTTTCATCTTAATGCATAATTTATCAAATTACAGAACTGAGAAACATCAAGGGTGAAGAAGTGCCAGCTGGAGCCATCTCAGGGTGGGACTGGCCAGAGATACTATGAAAAATGCAGGGTCCCAGGAGCAGTGGAAGAGACTGAAAATGGCTTCAAATTCAAGGCAGAAAAGAGCAAAACCAAATAACATCTCTTTTGTGGCCATCTGGAAAGAACTCAGACTCCATGGAGGCAACCTGAACTTGGCCTCTGGCTCTGCTTCGTACTGCCTGGAAATCTAGGTCAAACCAACTTACAACCTGAGCCTCAGTTTCTCTGAAAACAGTGCTGCTGCTAACCTCACTCGAGTGTCAGAACCAGTATTAAGGAGATAATGGATATGGACAGGGCTTTATAGAAATAAAACAGCAAGGCAATGACAGTGGTTCGGTTGGTTGCTCTATTGACATGACCTTGTCTTTACTTTGCATTAAATATCTCAGTCTGAAAGACGTTTTGAAATGGTTTTAAACACTTTTGAGGCCAGGATCAACTCTACATTTCCCTACCTCCTAAGACCTAAAAGATCACTCATACATGGCAGGTGCTTGACATCTGATGAATGAAGGGCAAATCAATGACTTTGGTTTATAGTTTCCAAGAACAGGAGCAATGATTATATCAGCTTCCTGATTCACTCTCAAGGGATCCTTGGGTGCCACCCATTCAACAGAAATCATGTTGAGACTGACAATGGGTGGAGGAGTTCCTAGGAATGGGACAAGTATGGGGAGGGTACTTGTCAGCCCCAGGAAAAAAGAGACCTCGAATTCATGTCTTTGAAGACCTAAGAGAAACAGCCATGGTGTTATTAAGTGAAAACAGTGAGAGTAGGGAAAAATAAAATAATCTGATCATAAGTGAAAGGTGGTCTCCAAACTACTAAATAAAACCAAAAGCAAAAAGTGAATAACAATGGATCTCTGTGTGTGTATGTGTGTGTGTGTTTCTTTCCATGACTCAGTAAACATTGTGCTGTGTTTCCATCCACGGGCAGTAATAACACATTATTACTTTTGTAACTGTACATTTTCAATTGCAAGTCTTGATTGCTCTTGGCATCTAAAGCACTGTTAAAAGTCAGGATGAGATGATTTGGTACAAGCAGGATAACACTGAGGTCAGTTCTTGTAGTGACTTGAATGATGGTACTCAAAAAAATATATGCATTCTTTTCAATCCCAATGTCACCTTATTTGGAGAAAGGTCCTTTGCAGTTGTAATTAAGAATTTTGAGATGAGATCATCGTGGATTATCTAGATGGCCATAAATCTGATGCCCAGTATCCTTACACTTGAAGGACAGGGAAACTCCGATATGGACAAGAAAAGGCACTGCAAACACAGAGGCTTAGAGCACATTGATATGTGTAACTGAGCCAAAGATTGTCAGCAGTCACTAGAAACCAGGAGAGAAGAATGGAATATGTTCTCCCTCAGGCTTAAGAAGAAAAGCTGATTCTGTTAATATTGTGAGTCTGGACATCTAATCGCCAGAACTGTGAGAGAATACATTTTTTTTCTTTCATTTCTTTCCTGTGGTGCTGGGAATCTAACCCAGCTTCACACACTACAAAAGCATCTGACCACTGAGCTACACCTCCTGCCCAGAAGAATGTGTTTGCTATTTTAAGTCACTCATTTTGAGGTAGTTTGTTACATAACCCCTATGAAAGAGTTATAATCTAGAAATTATGTGCAAGTGTATAAGGAAATGTTTTCATACAAATATCCAGGCCTGAACTCAATGGTACATAGTTTTTTGTGGAAGTCCTGGCCAGCTTCCCTGGCTCCGCACTTTCACAAAGCATCTTCTCCCCCAAGGTCACCAAGCTCTTTTGCTTTTCCACTGGAACTCTGCCCCACCTGCAGCAGTGTAGACTTGATATTACCAACCCCATTTATGCTCAGCTGAGCTCCATACGCTAGTCCCTGCGCCCCACCTCCACCCCCTACCAGGAGTCAAACTCAGGAACTTGTGCTTACCAGGCAAGTGCTGTACCACTGAGCTATATCCCTGGCCCATACTCTATTTTTTAAGGTTATTTGGCACTATTGCTTATCTTCTGAGCTCCAGGGCTCTAGTGCTAAAGATGTTTCTGTGATTCTTGTCAGTGGTATATTGATTCTGGTCAAAAGCACAGGCCTGTCTTTACAGTACTGTATTTATACCCTTTCATCACTATTAAGTGGAAAGAGATGCGTGCACAATGATTAGATCTGCCATATATCCCGTAAGACCTGCCCAGGGAAACTGAATGGGAGGAAATTGTCTCTTGGTTTTTCTCCTACCTCCTCCTATGCTCCCAAGGCCCCAGGTGCCCAGGGCATCTGTATTACTCCAATCTCTCTGTGGGATCATTCTGTCACTTCCATTGGCTTAGAGCTTTCTCCAATGTTAAGCGACATTTATAACTAGGGCATAAATTGGGTCATCTCAAGAGTTCGACAAATTATTCATGATGGGAACCTGAGGGAGAAATGTAACTTGGACTATGAATCCATGAATGCAGTCACAAGGATAACAGAACAATGATGTAACAATGACCATCCACTGTGACGCTTAACCTTTTGCAGAATACTTTCACACATATGATTTCATTTCCGTGTGAGGAATGTAGAGCATCTATTATCTATCTTCATGCCGTGATGCCACTTTGACCTAAAGAAGTAGTTGGCTGCATGTTACCCTAAACAGCTGGCATTTCTTGAAGACACTGCTGTCAGATTCATAGATTTGCCAAGTGATACTCTGATGCTATGCTCTCCAGATGTTTCAGCTCAGCCCCTGACAATAAGAAATGGCCTGCTGAGTTTTCTGATAGCAGATACCTAGGGAGTAGCCCAAGATACAAAAAATGAATTGCTCATTGGCATCCATGAGGTAACCACTCTCTAAAGTATAGGTTTTCCCCATCTTCCCCCAGATTTTTTCTGATTCTTTGTCTTGAGAGACTCTGTTAAGAGGAATAGGAGATACATTTCAAGCAGTTCCACAACTGTACTCATTTATGGTCTCATTTTTTTCTTTTATTTGTGCATCCATTCATTCACCCACCAATTGTATTGACCACCTGTGAAGTGATTAATGATTAGCAAAGCAGTTTTTAAAAAGCAATCTCAAAATAGAATCATTTAAGAAAAATAGTAGTTTATTTGTCTCACACAAATAAGTGTGTGGGATGAGCCTTCCAGGGGCGGGGATCTTTACTGAGTCCCTTCTGTCTTGTTGCTCTGCTATTCTTAGAGTACGGTACGTATCTGTTGTATCCTCTTTCCAGAACATGGGAAGCAGAAAGAGCAAAGGGGACAAATTCTTCCAATGAAGATCTGAAGTGCAAGTTTGCCTTCCTTCTGCTCTTTCCCAATAAACAAAATTCTGGTTGGGCCATGCCAACTAGATTCTGTGAAAGAATCTGAGAAATGCAGCTCTAGCCACATACATATCTGTGTGCTCTGACAAAACTTAATTCAAGAAAGAAGAAAACAATGGTAGCTGGACAACAGTGGTGTCTACCACAGCTGACCTTACATAGCAGTGTCCTAAGTAAAATG